AGCTAGACACCTTCACTTCAAGGCTCCTTCAAAATAGTACCGAAAATCAACACTCAAAGCTCTCCACAAGCTCACAAACTCAACTATGGAATATGGTACTCGAATTTAGGGTTTATGGACATAAGAGGCTGCTATGGAGGCCAACCAAGGGACTCAAGGCCTTTAAATAGGGTGCAACACCCTAAGAATTAGAGTTTCCCTCCCATCTGCCAACTCGCTGAGTTGAGGTTCCTCTACTCACCGTGTTGGTTCATTAAACTCGTGGCTAAAAAAGCACCTCGACTCGCCAAGCTCCAAAGAGAAATTACACACTTGGCAACCATCTCATATCGAAAATCAAGCGTTATATTTTCGTCTCGGAAGTTCTGCCCTCGTAGAGCCCGGTTTCTAACCAAACCTCCCGGTAAGTGAGTTATGCTTACCCTACTTTAAGTATAGATTAGGTTTAAATTTATTATCGTTATTATAAACTTACAAACAATATATATATATATATATATATATATATATATATATATATATATATATATATATATATATAATATATAAAGTGTTATTATAATGTCTTTTAAGTACTCGTGCTACGAGGAATCTGGTTTGAAGGGCCGCATAGAGTTTTCGGATTTTATAAGTGCTATAATGCCAAAATGGTCATGCCCTCCGGTGTTTCATGTCTGGACCATATATGTACATAGTGGTTGAAAGGTATTGTTTAACACTTATAAATAATATCGCTCGTAAATAGTTATGATAAATATTAGACTAAAATCTAGTGATAATAATGCTAGGTTGAAAGAAATTATATTGTTAAGAAGCGAAACGTTGTCCAAGTTGGAGCCAACACTTTAACAAGTGAGTGCATAGTTACTTTCATCTTACACACAGATATGAAATATTTATTATAAAATATGTGCTATGTGTGCATATTATATGTATTCTTTATATGTATGTTGGATGAACGATTTATACATGTTTTAAATGATTTAAACTGTATATGTATTTTATATCTAGGAAATTTTTGGGTAAAACATGGGTAGATGAAATAGTTGATGCGTGATAAAATGATGAGAGGTCTTGATGTTGACGATGATCCCGTCATCTAGCGGAGTATAGATGACGACCACAGACTATTCCAGACAGTCTAGTGGAATGCTAGCAGGCTCGCAACATGTAGATGTTTGTGAACGATGTTCACTGGTGTACTCCATCCCCCTCATGGTTGCCTTATGGACAATTAATGTTGAAGACCCCCCTTAGCAGTAGTGTCAATCCCAATGAAAATCCTTATGATAGGTCCCTTATAATAGATGTTTTAGGGACGTAAAGTGAGGATAAAGGGAACAGGTAATTGGGTTGATTGATTTAACGAAACTAATAAAATATTTATTGTGGGTTGAAAACTCTATGTGCTCACCAGGCTCCCAAGCTTGACCCACTCAGTTTCTTGTTTTACATGTAGTGACACAAGAACATAGTTGAGATGATTGGACGAGGGATTATGAATTATAGGCCAATAAAAATAAATAAATGTTGTAAGGTCTATGTTGTTTATGTTTATGCTTTTGATTTGTATTGACAATGACATCCCGAAGTTTTTAATATAACGAAATACATTTCTTTGGAGATGCTTTGATAAAATCTTTATCATATTTTTGGGAACAAATTAGGGAACAAATTACACAACACTTTTCTTTAAAAGGATACTTTGATTTTAAAATAAAACATAAACAATTCGGTCTTTTTTTGCTGTGAAAATTAGGATGTTACAATTAGTAACTGCATAATTACATAATATGTTTGATTCTCAAATCGCATCCCCAAAATGTGTTTTATGTTTTTATAGTGTAAAAACTCATAAAAGTACATGTGAATGACACGTAGGCTCAGACTCATCTAACTGGCCTCATCAACATATATGTTTGGTCTTCCTTAACATCTTTGCTTTTTCATCGCTACACAACTTACTAAAAGAACACATATTTACTAGTATTGTTCATGCAAGTAACTTTATTTTCCAAAACCAGGATCTTATCAGAACTTGATTAATAACATACCTTCACTAGCTGCTTCACGTATCCCTGAATTATTTTATGCCACACTATCTACTTTTGTCTTTTTATTCTTAATCTGATTATCTAATTCATCACCAAATTGGTCAATATACATTAGCATCCTTTAATGTATGTAATTTCTAAGAAAACTGCATACTTCAACTCATTTTATATATAAGACCAAAATAAATAGGTTCATTAGGGATATAATCGTACAATTTCTCACATTCCTCTAAGATGAACCTTATTAGGAAAGTTCTACGCTTAGACAAATCCATCTTAGTAAAGTCAACATCAGTAAACAGAAACTTCATACTATCAGAATATGCGATTTGACACCTTATAAAACTCATTAAAAGTTAATCTCAACTTTCAAATATATATGATACCCGCTGGCATCATTTAAAACCATTTTCATTCTACAAAAACAAAATTGTACATCAAACAAACAATGATATATATGATCTGGATACTAGCATGTTTTTTTTATTATACAAAATATATTTATAAGATCATGTAAGAAAAGCAAGAAAAGCTTCGAGACTTACTCCTTTTCCGAGGACATAAAAATCGCTATGCCTTTTATGATTTTTCTTTGCTTTCTTTTCGCTGTGGTATTATGAATCTTTGGAAAATAATCATTTACCCATGTGTATCACCTTATCATCTATATAACCAATTCATTTTTTGTAGAAGTAACTTTTTGACACACAACTTGAAACATTTTACACTTGTAATATACAAAAATGAAATGTGAAACAATTTGAAATTGAAACGAATAGTTTATTGCTAGCGATGTTATCTTTATTGAAAATTAAAAATCAAGAATAAAGGGTGTTTGAGATTGTTTTTTGAACTCTAAAAATATTTTTGGGCAAAAATGCTTATCGTGTTTGGATTAACGTTTGTTATGAAAAAAATCAATAAATTGTGTTTTAAAAGGTTTTTAACTTAGTTTAACTCAGGTTAGATGTGTAAGCTAAACAATGTCATTTGGTAAAATGAAATTAAAAAGCCAGAAACGCAATAAAATCAAATCACATGGACAATTCGAGTGCAAAAAAAAATTAGGGACCAAACGTGTAATTTTGATAAAACCATAGGGACGATTTCAGTAATTTACTCTAAAAGTTAATATCAACTTTCAAATATATATGATACCTTATCATTTAAAACCATTTTCATTCTACAAAAACAAAATTATACATCAAACAAACAATGATATATATGATCTGAATACTAGCAAGTTTTTTTTGATTATACAAAATATATTTATAAGATCATGCAAGAAAAGCTTCGAGACTTACTCCTTTTCCGAGGACATAAAAATGGCTATGCCATTTATGATTTTCCTTTGCTTTCTTTTCGGTGTGGTATTATGAATCTTTGGAAAATAATCATTTACACATGTGTATCACCGTATCATCTATATAACCAACTCATTTTTTGTAGAAGTAACTTTTTGACACACAACTTGAAACATTTTACACTTGTAATATACAAAAATGAAATGTGAAACAATTTGAAATCGAAACGAATAGTTTATTGCTAGCAATGTTATCTTTATTGAAAATTAAAAATCAAGAATAAAAGGTGTTTGAGATTGTTTTTTGAATTCTAAAAATATTTTTGGGCAAAAATGCTTATCGCGTTTGGATTAACTTTTGTTATGAAAAAAAAAATCAATAAATTGTTTTTTTAAAATGTTTTTAACTTAGTTTAACTCAGGTTAGATGTGTAAGCTAAACAATATCATTCTAGAAAAGTTTGGTTGAAAATGCTTTTGGAAATATATTGAACAACTATTTTAAAATTAATTTTAAAATCAACAAACATTTTGTTTAGTTTATTAACTTTTCAAAAATTCAACAAATATTTATTGTTTTGAAAAACAATTCCAAACACCCTAAATTCCTAAAACATTTAATTTTCGCAAGGGTTTAAAGATGAACTCGGGAAAAGGTAATACAAAATCACAAACAACCCCTCGCAGCACCTCCACCTCTCCGACGATCTGCACAAGGCGGCCATGGTTTCCAACACAACCTGGTTGAGGTACCTCGCCCGTCGTTTCGAGTACTCCGTTGCTCTGAGCTACAAGGTCCTCCTTTCATGCTCTTGCTTTATCTTTGATTTAGATCTTTATGGCTTATGCTATCTTCTGGCTAGGTTATTGAAAGGATAAATAGATTGGTTTTTTCGTGAATGTTTTCGAACGATCAAGTTGGTTTATATCTAAGTTTTTACTAAGGTAAATCAGATTAACGAACGAGTTAATGTCTGTATTAAGTTCTAAGGGTTTACTCGGTTTATTCCAATGAGTGTATAATGTATATATGCAAGAAATTGCTTCACAAGTGAAACGATTGACCTGATAGAGTGTGCATTTCATTTCTCAAATGTTGCATTATTGCTTCATGTTTTTATTCACTGTCCTCTCTACTAATCGTCATGCTAGCTGAAGTTCTCACTGAATGTATATTTAGCTTGTAACAAGTTTTCATTTCAATTCATGATCTCATGGTAAGTAGTTTGGAAATCACAAGTCCACAACTTTCAAATACATAAATTAATGTCTTCCAACATAGAGTTTTTTGCTTTGTACAGAGTTTTTGGGTTCATAAACATGCAAACCAAACACATGACATTTCTTCAATTTCAGTTTCAGTTATAGATTACATTGCTTTGCATAACAATGTTGTTTGCTTTGTTTTAAAGATTAAGAAGATAGACAACAGATACATAAGAAAGGAAAACAGTAGCAACATGAGATGTAACCTGCTTCATGTCTATTTGAGTATTGTTATATTATATATTGGTAGTATAAAACAGTCTTTGTTGCAGAGCTACAAACATGGTAAAATCTCTAATACATAAGTAGGGGACACAGTTTGGAAAACATTTTTCCAAGGAAAATTGACATTTTTGCATTGGAACAAGGGAGAGGAAATGGCTCTAACAATAGCACCTGAAGGGGGAACACTTCTTGTCAGGAAATTACCAGCTGCAGATCCACAGTAATCTCACAAAATCAAAATCGAAATCAAAATCAAACCAACAGTTATTTATTAATTTTATTCTATAAAATATTGTTTATATGGTGGTGTCAGGTGTGTTTTTGTTGGGGATGTGGTGGTGATGAAGGACCCTGAAAAATCAGATAGTTATCTGGTTAGAAGATTGGCTGCAACTGAAGGCTATGAAATGGTTTCAAAAGATGAAAAAGAAGAACCTTTTGTACTTGAGAAAGATCAGTGTTGGGTCTTGGCTGACAATGAGAATTTAAAGCCTAAGGTATCATTAACACTTGTGTGATCATAAATGATTGAATGAGTAATAATGTCTGTATACCAAATAAACTGTCTGAATGAGAGTAAATGACCATTTTACCTTTACATCAAACAAATGATTTTCACAATATTCATCAATTTTAACGTGAGAGGAAAAAAGAAAGGTGAAATAAGTAAAGGGTTAGTGTCTGAATACCCCATTAAGTCATTATGTCCAAACTAATTAAAAAAGAAACAACTATGTATTTAATATATATATATTTTTTATAAACTTTTCAGGAAGCGAAAGATAGTCGGTTATTTGGGCCTGTGTCAATGAATGATATAATAGGGAGAGTGTTATATTGCCTGAGAACAACAGTGGATCATGGTCCAATTCAGAATAGGTTTTTTTTTGGAAGTAAATAATAAATAATATATGTATTTTGCATACTTCAAAAACTTGAAAATGATGTGGTTAAATTGGGCAGTCAATTCAGCATGCAGAAGGATTTGCCTGTATCGGAAGTGGAATTGGATGTTGATGAAATGGCAAAAAACCACAAAGCTTAGGAAGAATTTGCAAGAAAGAAATTGGTTTGTATGTACTCTGTTTGCTCCAAATTTTAATATGTTTTCTTCGAGAACAAGAAGAGTCAATAAAAAAAAAAGGTTCAAATTTGACCGAATCTAATGATCTTCAAGTCAAGAGAAACATCTATTGTGAGAAGATGGTGTATTCTCATGAATCATGATGTTGTTTATACTTTTTGATTTGTATCCAATTTGGTGATATGGGTTTCTTTAGATCCTAATTTATGATGTTTCCTTATAAGTTTACCTAATTACTTAGCAACTTCTCAAACATTTTCTGTTATTGTATCTTGTTTTTTCATACCTGTTTAATGTTTAAGGTCTTGTTTGTTTTGTGGATTTTGGGGGAATATGGAGTTGGAATGGATGATTCCTTTGATGGTGCGTTTGGTTGGTAAATCAATGGAAATGAATTCCATGGAAATCCATGTTTAAAGGGTGTTATCTTTAATTACTAGGGATGATTAACTGCGTGTTTGGTTTGCATATTTAAACAGAATGCAAAGAATTGGAATGTGAGATTCCGCTTTGTGATTGACCGAACTAAATTTGGGTGACATGTTTTAAAATTAACATCAAAAGAAAATTCATCATTACTAGGGAGAAAGAATTGAATTCCGCTCTTAAATCTTTTATTGAAAATATCAAATTATCCAAAGAAACCCTTATTAAAGCACACGGTGCGCTTTAAACGAGTTGAGTTTTTAGTGAGTTAAGTTTGAATCCGGCTTACACTCATCAAGTTAAAGTTTGAGTAGAAGAAACAGTCTTTTGTATGTATAACAAGTTGATTTCAAGATTTTTAGGATTAGACTTGATTTTTATCACAATTATTGAATTATATGTATTTGTTATTTTCTTTACATTGAATTTGAATGAAATTTGTTCATGGAATAGCGTTTTATAAATATTTTTGAGCTATTCAAGTTTTCGAATGGAGCCCGCTTTATCAAATATGATTTTGACAGATATTTAGTTTGATGAGCCTTCATGATGCAAATTTCTACTCGGCTCGATAGAGATTTAAGTGCTCAAAAAATATAAATCAAAATAGAAACCATGCTCAATTCTAAAACTCGATTCGAGCTCATTTTAGAGTTCAATATTGTTCAACTTTAATATAGTTTGTGACCTTAATAATCCGATAAAAACACTATCATTTGCCGATCAACCCATACACTTACATATCTACTCTAATAATTGAAGTTTTTTTTTTGCCACTTATCACACTCTCATTCAATTTGTCAGATGTCTTTGTGGTTATTTTGAATTTTTTTTTTTCTATATTTCATTTTATGAGTTTTTTTTTATTAAATTATATATAATATTTAATGTAATAATTGCAATAAATGTAATAATAAATAGATATCAATTTCATTAATAAACTTATATTTTAATTTTAAAATTCTCAAAATTAAAGCTTATTAGTTTCTTTTATTAATTTATTTAAATTTACAAGAGAAAAAACATTTCTATTATAATAATTCATTATTTTTCTTATTTTCTTATAAATTTAAAGTTCTCAAATATTTAGATATTTATATTTATTTATTTATTTTTTTAAATTAATCCATATAATAGTCTCTAGTTACATATAATTTGAAAAATTAGATAAGAATTCTACTCAAACACTCGTATGCTTGAACCTAGCTCATCTTATATGTTTGAGATTTTTTCTTGTATCCAAACTTTGACGTAAATTCGATTTAAAAGACTAAAAGACTAAAACTAAAATTCGGTTCTAATCCTTTATTCCAATAAAAAAGTGTGTAACATCTTCTCAGCGGCTAAGTTGTTTTTTTTTTTTTTTTTTTTTTTTTTTTTTTTTTTTTTGGAAACTTTAAAAGTAAACTACCAAATATGTCGTTGCTCTTTAGAATCCGTTGAATTTTCATATTAGAGATTATCAAATCCCAAAAAATAGTATAATTTTAAAGCTTTCAAAAATAAAAATAAAACTATATTTATATGACTTAATAATATCTATGAAGTTTACTTAGTAACTAGAGCTGAGCATTAATAACTAAACAACTGAATATTAATAAGACAACATTCTGACATTCAAAATTATACATCATATGATACAAAATTTCAATAAGATTAAATTGTTTTTATTTTATGACATCAAATGAAATTTTAAATTCTAAATTTGTAGGAATCCACCGACTTAATAATATGGTAAATGGGATTTTTATTTTTCAAAGTAAACAAAGTTATACAATTTTAGAGTATACAAAGTTATGTAATTTTTAAAAACATGAAACGATTTTATTTCATATAAGTTTTATAGTGTACAAAATTATGCAAATTAAAGATACAACTTAATATATTTTAGAAAAAACATCATAAATGGTCCCTATGTTTTTCCAGATTCTGAAGTTTAGTCCCCATGGTTTAAAAATCTCATAAATAGTCCATGTGCTTTCAAAACTTTTGACAGATAGTCCTTATTGCTAACTTCGTTAATTTTTGTCCGTTAAGTGAGGGGCATTTTCGTCATTTCACACCATAGGGACCGATGTTTTCTTGTATTTAAAAAAAATAAACATAATTAAATAAAATCTCTCTCTCTTCTCTCTCTCTCTCACTCTCTCTCTCTCTGGATTACTCATCGATGCATACCTATTGTGTAAAAATATCCAAAAAATTATGAATCTAGAAATCAGATTACAAATTCAGAGCATATTACATATTCAATATTCCAAGCTACAAAAGAATTCAAGGGTAAAGATTCATATCAGTTCACAAAACAAAGTGTCATAGTAGATTCAATACCAGAAAATAAATTTGTTTTATTTTCTGCAAATTCATGACTAGAAAACAAATACTCATAGGCTCATAGAAGATTCAAGGAACACATTCATACGAGTTCAAGAAACAAAAATTACAATCACCAAAATTAAATTATAATTACCATAGAGATCATATTATAGTTTTTCTAAGAATGGGAGATTAAACCTAAGTGGGTTCATTCGAAGAGCTTGAAGAAGAATAGAAGTGTAGATGCCCTGTATATCTTGAAGAATAATCCAATTGTCGATGCCCTGCATCTCTGGAATAGGAATTGACTGATGCCCTGTTAGATTGATTTTGGTTCAATTGAAGGAGAAATCAAACACCTCACATGCTAGTGAATCCAAACACTATTTCCTGGGTACCTGGTAATTCCATGGCACTGAATCCGAACCCAAAATCACCTTCAACAGCAACCACGAGCCGATCAGGCGAAGCTATTGCTGCTGCAATATAATACCCTAAACCAACACCCATTTTCCCCTGTGTTCTTGCATCTAAACAGGTTATGGGTTCCATTTGGACCAAAATGGATCGACCCACATACTTCTACCCATTTATGTGTTGCTGGGAGCAAAGCGCCACCTCCTCCGTGCTATCGGATTTAATCACCACCACATTAAACCGTCACCATATTTTCCACCAGAAAACACCACACCGAACCCATGACAAAAATCCATTAAAAAAAATCAAATTCAAAAATCCTAATCAGAAATCAAACCGCAAATTCAGATGAGAAGAAAGAGAGAATGTTTCTATTCGTCGGTGTGGCTGCGACGACGAATATACTGACGTCAGATACAAAGGCAAAGGTGTAGATAGGTAGAGATGGTGCAGATCAGCGAAGCAGAAGGTCGATGGTGTAGATCGACGACTTTCGAGTCTAGATCGGTGAAGGTTGAAGATTTTAGGAGGCTTTAGAAACAGATCGGCTACGCACAAAGGTTTTCAGTGGATTTAGAATCCAGATCAACAACGCACAGAAGTTTCAAGCGTCTATGGTGTGAAGGTTCGAAGGCATCCTGCGTTTTCCAAAGGCTTTAGAGTACAAAGGTTGTTTCGTTGACATCCGGTGGTTACCGAAACCTATGTCCGGTGGTCGACTGTTGCGAGAGAGAAGCATATTATTTTTATTTTTTTTTAATTAAGAAAAAGCATCATAATTGGTCCTATGGTAGTTAAATGACGAAAATGCCCTTCAATTAACAGATAAAAGTTAACATAGTTAGCAATAAAGACCAATCGTCAAAAGTTTTGAAAACACAGGGACCATCTATGATGTTTTTAAACCACGGGGATTAAACTTCAGACTTTGAGAAAACACAGGGACCATTTATGATGTTTTTTCTATATTTTAATTGACAACACTTGAAGTGATATTTATTTAAAAAATGATGAATGCCATTAATAAAACAATAATTACAACAAATAAAAACATGCATTTTTTTTTTTTTTTTTTTACTATTTAAGCCTTCTATAACATGGACCACCACCGTTTGAAAATAAATGTTTTTTTTTCCCTTAACGAGTACCTAACATCTCTTATTATGAAACTCAGATAATTTTTTTGACATGAATCAGTTATATATTAACTTACCCAATACATTGACCCATATAACATCATATACACTTTAGCTAAAAATGACAGGAGTATTGCATAAAGAATATTAATATCAAATTCAAACTTCTAACAAATACCATCTATTCAACACTCATACTCCCAATTTCTTATATCTTGCCTTTGATTTGTTTTAAATTAGATTGTTGACATTTTGTCATATTACATGTTATCAAAAGAAGACAAATCGATGAAAAGTAATTACTCACCACCATCCCTTCGAATGGAAACTAATCGCCACAATGAAATTAATCGTCATGTGGATTGCTAAAGCGATGTGAACCGCCATAAGCGGATGAACTGCCACTTAGATTGTATGCACATGTTCTATCCCTATTTGCTTATTAAAACAATATGAATTCTTTAAAACATGTTCAATATTCCTTCATCAAATAAGATTTTTTTTTTGGTATTTTGGCTATAGAATATGAAGTTTATGAAAATAGAAGGCTATTCTCTTTCTGCAACTACTTCAAAAGATACTACTAATCCATTTTTGGACAATGCCTAGTTTCAATGTTGTTTTACTTTTATCCACCGTATAATACACATGTTATTACTTAGTAACTTGATAAATATACAGGTCTAGCTGTATCCAAAGTAATTGGATACATGTCATTTAGCTAAAATGTTGATGATTCAAATAATAATTAGAAAGAAATATCTAGCTATAAGAATAAATTATATAGTATGTAACTTAACTATTATATAGTGTAGTGGTGGTAATAAATGATTGAGTAGATTACACGAATCGTCGATCGTGTACCAAAAGGTACTGTTAATCATTATTTTCAAAAATTAACTCAGACTGTTACTCATTAGTTTTAAATATACACGCTTCATCTCTTGTTAGTTTACATTTGCATAATTCATACTTTTCCTAACATAAAATGACTATATTGTCTTATTTTTTTGTATTTATAAGAAAAACAAAAAATAAATTTCAACCATTTATTCACATTTATTAATAATTTTAAACAATTAAACTTATCACCCCTATTTCATGTACCTAAAATAACCTAACTCTCCACTCCAACTTTTCATCGCCCCTCACCTCCATTGAAATCAAAATTCGACCATTATAGTTATAACCACCATCGAAAACCCTCTTAACCGCCACCTCTTCATCGTCCACCGAAAATCTGGCCACGACTATCACCACCTCTTTTCCCTTCATATGTTCACGTCGGAAATAAAATCAACATCAAAAATGTGGACCGCCGTCGGAAATAGCTTCACCACTGCTAGTTTCTCTCTTTGATCTCTCTTGATCTTCACCTGAAACCTTAGGGTTGTCATCACCACTTAAAAACCCTAGCACCGCCTGTAACAACAACAAATCTATTCTTCCCTCGTTTTTCTTTCCGATGGTCCTTAAGAATATATAGACTGAACCATCATCGTCTCTATCTCATCCGTTCTCTATTTGGTAACAACACCACCCCCCTTAAATATAGGTTTGAGTTTCGGAGATGGTGTTTGTGGTTGTGGAGATTGATGTTGATTGTTGGGTTCAAGTTCTCCATCCTTGAGTTTTAGAAAATTATTGTAACGCCCGCAAATTTGGGTTAGACATGTAAAGAATAATAAGTAACAATTATTATAATTTAAAATCCTCTAATAGGATAATCGTCATACTTGCACGTTGCAAACTATTTAATATAAGCCTTTTAGGGAATTTATCGACAAGCGATAAATTACGTTTTTGGTAGAAGATTATGTAGGATAAATAATCTTAAACGAAAGTTGTAGTTATTGCAATAAAGATTCCGTTCATGTAAAGAACACCCAAATCCGATTTCGTACGAAGAAGTTATGCCTCTTCGAAGCTTCGAAATTAGACCGACACGACTATGTGCGTTGTAATAAGTGAATTTTAGATAGATTGATTATTAGTGTAGACAATCCATACAAAAGTCATAGTATTCGTAAAAGCGAACCCATGCATATAAAGATAGTAGTATGCAACACTGGTTTCAAAATTCGTAACGGACGATTTTTAGGAAAGACAAGCTAAAAGAGAATTGAAGATCTTGTTAATAGAGATTCGCTAATAAAAAGACAGTCGAGAATGGACTTCGGATGAGAGAATTATAAATTTTTAAAGGACTTTAACAGTCTAAGCTTATTAAAAATATAACTTAAAAAAATCAAATTAGCCGACGGATTTTAAACGAAACTTGTAGGTATCGTCGATAGCTACACGTGGATATAAAACCCGTTGAAATTGAGCTCGTATGAAGAAGATATGAATTTTCTAAGAAGTCAAAAAATTTCCGCATGCAACCGCGCACACAGACAAGATGCACGACACGCATTTGACACCCCACCCAAATCGTGACACGTGTGACCACTCAAGAATCGCCATGTCACCCGGTCCGACCAAATGTGCTTCTTGCAAATAAACTCCCCCCCCCCTCCCCCAATAAATAGCTCTCCGTATATGCTCCTCATATCTCACCCCTACAACCTCTATCTCTTAGTTCTCCAACCTCATACCACTTTTCACTCCAAGAAGCCCTTAATTGGTTAAGATGAAGTGCTAAACTCTCATATCTGATTCTATAAGACTACTTATCACGTAAAGTTGGCAAATTTGTGTGCTTGCCTGGCAAAAAAGGACTTAAAAGCTCAATAAGGACTTAAAAAAGGTCTTAATGCTTGCATGGACCAAAATACACTATAAAGCTTGCATTTTTATGAACTTAGGGACTGAATGGAGCTAAGACCTAACACCCATTACTTCTAGAGTAGATCAAAAACCCATATTTAACACAAAGACTCCAAAATGCATAAAATACTCCATGAACTAGATGTAACATACAAGATCACCAAGGTAGAACATTCATACCTTCAAGATGTAGATCAAGATGCAACAAGCCTGGATCCAAACGTCTTAAGCAATCCCACACTTCTCCAAGAAGCTCATTCTTCTTCTATGAGCACCAAAAGCATGAAACAACACTCAAAACTCAAAACCACTCAAATGAGGGATATGGTTTCATTTCTAGGGTTTAAAGGGATGAAGGCTAAAGATATTAGGGTTTGGCGATGAGATAAGGAGTTTAAAAAGGGTCCAAAACCCTAAAATAGGGTTTGGAACTAACTAAAGTATGCCCAACGTACTTCCTGTATGATACACCTACTCCAAAGGATAATCACGACCAATTGGCTTAGTACACACAACGTACTCAAGATGTATGCCCCGCGTACGGACCCTCCTACTAGTACGCCATGCGTACACTCGTGTACGCCCAACGCACCTGGTGAAACCCTAGTTTCACCAATCTTCTGACGGCCATAACTTCTTCGTTACAAGTCCGTTTCCGACGATCCTTATATCCATGAAAAGGTAACGATAATATCTACACTTCTATAAACTCATACTAGCCTTAAGACATTCCAAACAAAAATCCAATTTCCATAGAAGTCCAAACCGGTACTTTACCGAAATACCCTTAGGATCCAAAATACCAACCGGAAACCTGAATTACCTCAGTTACATTAATCGCATCCAAATGGTTCTAGATCTCAAGTTTTAAAGGCCCTAAGCCTTATGATGACCGATCTTTGGGCCACAACTTCAAATTAGGAAATCGATTCGTAACAGGGCGCTACATGCTGTCTGCTGACTGGTTATATGTTTATATGTTATGTATATGTCGAAGGTTGGGTTGAGGCAGACTAATGTATATTGAAGACCAAGAGACTTAGGGTTGCCCAGATAAATTGAAGGCCTGTGAGGCAAACCAGTCTGGCCGAAGGCCCAGAAAACGGTCCAGATAAGCTGAATGCCTGGTGAGGTGGTCCAGTCATGTTGAGGGTTATGTGACCGGTCCAATAGTCTGTAGGCCAGTGAGGCGGACCAGGCAGGTTGATGTTGGTCTTTGATATCTTGGAT